GTAGAGGCCGGGGCGAGGGCCGAGGCCACGGGCACGAAGGCCACTCCGTCATGGCCTCCTGAGTTCCCTGCTCCGCCATGGCTTCCTAGTCACCGTAGATTCTGAAGAATAAATTACGTGCATTAATTAAAGCTGCAGTCTGTAAGTTTTTCCTCTTTGTCGCCATCTCAGTTTGAAACCTGCAATTGCAGTACTTCACCATTAAAGACAAAAATACCTTCGAAGTGAAGGTCCCCATTGAAAGCAAGTCATGGAAGAGCAGGAAGGCGACAACCCGTCTGTGAGGAAGACTGCCATGAGTTTGACTTCTGGTGGGTTTCTGATCCTAGCAAATGTGAAGTCATGAAAAACGGCTACTTCACCATCTGCCCAGGGAAGTATCATCACAGCAAACATGTCAAAGAAAACTAGAAATTAGGGGGGTATAATGGATGATTTTGTCAAAGATCTGCAGAAGCTCGAGGGCCAAATATGCTTCTGTTCAATGCTTACAAGACCATCAAGCATCTGTCTCAAATCACATTAAAGCCAGACTTGGCCTTCACTCTTCAGCATCTGGACTTCTTCATCCTCAGACTGAGGGAGGCTGGGACAAAAGACTGGGCTCGAGAGATGGAGCTGAAGAAGCAAATAAAGACATTTTAAAACTTTATAAAATAAATTGCTGCCTTACATTTTGAAGTAATCAACTTAGCTGTTTAATAATTTCAACTTAAATTACATTAAACTGACTTTAAAAAGTGAGTTGTATTTTGTATAAAAATTAAAAAAGTGAAACATGGAAAAGCATGTTGTGATAACTTATTGATCTTATGTTTTTACAGCGTAATGCCTTCAACGCATTATGTATACTGCATTACTATTTATTGTATCCCAAACTACCTGTTTCTAAATGAGTAATCATTACAGTTAAACTAAGTGAGGATACACTGTTTAAGCTATGGCCAAGAAAGGTTAAAGTGAAATAAGCATTTGCATTTTCAATATTGTTACAATGTTTAACCGCATAAATATAATGACACGTTCATATTTCAAAAATATGATGTTTTCATTAGCCATGCTTAATGTGCGCAGTTGATTTCAGCTGAATACAGCATCAGAGCACGCTCCTGTCATCATTTATATTTAACAATGGCTTTTCACTTCAATTCAGATAAGAGTATAAGGGTTATGTTAATGATTATCAAATGACTTGATTGGTGATACTTGCTCAGGTAGTGGCAGGGTTTTCTTATCTCTATCAACTTGCAACATAATATCTATATTGTTAAGGACAGTGCTTCTCAAACCTGTCCTGAGGTCCTCCAACCACTGCACATTTTGTATGTCTCCCTTATAGGCCACACCTAGTTCAGGTCTTGCAGACTCTACTAACGGGCTGGCGAGTGAATGAGGGAGACATACAAAATATACAGAGGTTGGGGGGTCCCCAGGACAGATTTGGAAAACACTGGTTAAGCTTTTCTAGTGTAAAGCCATTTGGCAAGGTAGCCCAGGCACACATAGATAGTAAAACATGCGATCCACACGTTAAAAAAAATTAAATAAAAATGGGATGGACTGGGGAGGAATGCTTGTTTGGGAGTTGTTTTACAAATGTATAGCAATAGTCTTCTTTTTAGCTGTTTCACAACAGCTTTATTTGGCATTGGCTGTACAGCCTGTAAATTATCTGATAAGATGTCTGGGATGGGGAAGGCTCTGCATTTCTCTCATGTTTCCTGCTTTGTTAGAGGGTTATATATGTATGTTATTATATGTGCAGCAGTAGCATGTATTCAATGCTTACTCTGCAGCAGCAGCAGCAGCAGCAGGAGAGTAGCAGATCTATTCCACCAAGAACAAAGCATTTCATTGAGATTTTTGAGTAAATAAAAACATAATCATTGGTATTTTGAAACTGAACAATGAGATACTTAAAGTAGTTTGAATGCTCTTAATGTGGATGTTTATTTGGGATTCTCTGTCAAAAACTTGCATGCACACTTTCAAATATATTTCCATATGTGCAATAGCAAGACATTTTCTTTCAATATGTACATACGATTTAATATTGATTACATAGTAGTCTTATCTGAGTAGACACTTATGACTAAATCATATAAAAAGAATAATATAACATTAGGTAAAAAAATAAAAAAATAATTGCTGAGTGATGCTTAAATTTTCACAAATTACCTAATTTACATTTTTTGTTTTAGACTAAAAAGACACATTCTTGCATAGAGGTCAGTATTATTTAGTGATTATTTAAAGTAGAATAATTAATCAAAGAATAAACTGTCACCCTTACCGAAACCTAATGACTGACTGCTTCTGTGAAAGAGTAGATGTTTTCCACAATGTTGTTTTACAGAAACATGGCACTGTATGGCTACAACAGGCACTGCAAAGATACAAAAATGACAATTCACCATAAAAGCAAAGGAGAATTATAGCCCAGGGCTACATTTATCAAAAGTATTGTGACGTGCCAATGGTTTTTACAATCTACTATCTACTGAGGTCTACTACAATCTACTGCAAATTATGCAAATGTGCCCATTTCTATAAAAAATACAAAATTGCAAATGCAGTAAGCAACTGATAATGAAAAGCATCAGGTTAAGTAGAAATAGTATATTTGACATACAATATGAAGAATTATTTAAGACTCATAGTTAATCATTAAAATATTAAAACATAACACAGCCCTTTGATTTCTGATTTTTCTTCTTTGTCCCCTTTTTGTCCTCTTTTCAACAATTGTTTCAGTAATTCATTCTGATCATCTTGCTCCTCCAGCCTATCACCGAGATCCCAAATCCACTGATCTTTTTGGTCTCTGAACTCATTAACTTCTTCTGCTCTTCTTCTAGCATCATCTTTATATTTCATTTTAATCCTCCTCATTTCATCTTCATGATTACTTTTGATTTGATCACGTTCTGTTTTCGGTCTCTGAAGATATTCCATTTGTTTCTCTGCTAGTTCTTTACCTCTTCTCTCTTTTCTGATTTGATTCTGCATTTTCATTCTCTCCTCACCTGCTCTTTGTTTTTCTTCTTCTAGTCATGTTTTTCATTTCCCTCTCACATTTGGCTTGTAATATCTGGGTCTGGATTTCAATCTCTCTCTCTCTCTCTTTCAGTATTTCCTCCATTTTCTTTCTAATGGACATCTCTGCCTCCTCAAACATGCTGTTAGTGAAGTATCGACCCTCGTTACTGTTTTTAATTTCCTCTATCATGTTTAACAGTTGAATCACTTGCGTTTTGTCTTGTTTTTCTCTGTTATTAAAAGCCAGGAATCTGTTTCCACAGTCTCTGATCAGTTTCTTGAGTTCTGTAGACTTACTTTGCCTGACATAATCTTCTATGGACTCTTCATCAAGATTGTCTCCTCCAGTGAACAGAACGATGCTGAACTGAGAAGCTTCATGACCAAAGATCTGTTTTATCAGATCTACAGTGTCTGCTTCTTCCTTGGTGAATCTTCCCAAACTCAACACAATGACAAACACATCAGGTCCAGGTGACGACATTGAAACACATTTCAATATTTCATCCACCACTTATTCATTTGACAGTATTGTGTCAAAGAGTCCTGGAGTATCAACAACAGCTACTGGTCGACAATCAACTTCACCAATTCTCTTTTCACATGCAGTCGTCACTGAATCTGTGCACATTCGGCTATGAACCTCCTCTCTTCCCAGAATAGTGT